TGCCTCAGATTTTCCAGGCAAAAATATTGGAGTGGGTTGCCATTTCCTGCTCCAGGGGATCTTCCAGAGCCAGTGATAGAACCTGTGTCTCCTGCATTGGCAGCAGCTGCTTTACCAATGAGCCACCTGGAAAGCCCTTCTTAAATGTACAGAGGTACATAATTAAAGGGCTTCCTTGGTGACTCAGGAGTAAAGAATCTGCCTGCCAATGCAGGAGACACAGGTTCAATCCCTGGCTCAGGAAGATCCCCTGGAGAAGGAAATGGCAATCTACTCCAGTTTTCTTGCCTGGGAAATCCTGTGGACAGAGGAGCCTGGGGGGCTACCGTCCATGTGGTTGCAATCGAGTCAGACACGACTCAGTAACTAAACAACAACACATAATTAAAAGGAATTGCTTTGAGGAGCCAAGAAGTGTTATCATAGAAAGTAAAAGCGTTCCAGAATGAAAAACTTTCTTAGCCAAGAGCAATCCTTTGAAATTCATCAAGAAATCTTGCTACTTTAGGTATCTATCTTTTTTTAAATATCACTGTTTGAAATGCATTACAACTATCAGCAACTTGATGTTGAAGCTTGAAGAATATTGAGGCATCTGTAATGCTGTAGAAATGTTACAAAAAGAGGGAAGTGGACATTTTAAGGGTGATTTCTCAAATATTCACAGCATTCAGAATTTTAATGGCACTATTGATAACCTTGTTATCTAATAGACTTCTGACTACAAAATGCATTAAACTTCTTGGCAGTAGTCAAATGAGTGGCAGCCAGAGATGGCATACATAGTGTGCTTGATAAAAATTCTACTTATTTAAAGTGTTAGAGTGGCCATTATGTTCAAGTACGAAGTTTTGAGACTCTCAGTAAATTTAATCTAGAAGAAAATGTTTCAGACTGTTTTTAAGTTTCAGTAGAACACAAAGTACTCCGAGTTTTTCCTTAAGAGAATGTCAAATGTAAAAGCTAGTTTTGACATATTCACACATAAACATATTCACACGTAATAAGTTTTCAGGTAGCTTCTTTGGTTCTTTTCCATTATTGCCTACTTGGGGCTAAAGATATGGTAACTTTATAAGCTCAAACTTTCAGCTATTTCAGAAGTTTCTATTAAATAAAGGTGGATGAGTTTCTATTAATAAACTTCTGAGTTTAATTAGAAGTTTATTTATATTGAATAAATATAGCTTATTTATATTGAATAAACTGTATTTATTTTTATATAAATATTTAGTTGAGTGTGTATATGTGTATGTTAATCCTGTTCAGAGAATTGAGTGGAAAAGAATTCAAGTTATTGTATTACTACTGTTTTAACCTCTCTAAGACTCTTTTCCCTAATCTGGATATGGGGGTCCTGATTCCCTAACTGGCAGAGTGGTTTTAGGGGTTCAGTAAATAATGTTCTAAAGTATGTAGGAGAAATAAATTCCCCTTCTGTGATCAAAACAATTACATTTTGTTGCCTTTCCATTTCCTCATGAAGTTGAAATAATATAACCCAATATAGGTAAAGCCCAAAATTGATAGGAAGCGTAGACTCTCTTAGATGGAAGCAATCTTAGAAAATATATGGTTCAGTGATTCTTATCATTTGTGTGGCACATGGACTACTTTGAGAATCTGAGAGTCGTGACTCTTCACTCCCGAAAAAATGCCTCTATACACAAAAATTAGCATATAATTTCAAGGGGTTCAAGGATTCCCTCAAACCTAAGGTCAGGAATCCTCAATTTCATGCAACACCCTCAGTCTAAAGATGGAAAAATTAAGGAATATAAGTGATATGCTCTTGAGAATCAAAAATTATTTTGAAAACTCTTCCCCGAAAAATCTCTAATTTAAGAACACAGCTTTCGTTGATTTTTGAGCAGTGTCCTCAGGCCACAGCTACATTTTATCAGTGGACTTCCTATCTCATCCACCTCTGGTGTGTGAGTGACTAAAAGCTATTTGCAATCCCACACAAAGTGAAATGAAATAATTTGGGTATCGATTCTGTTTTTAACATGCACATTCCCCAAAATTATGCTACCGCATTCTCATGAACATTCATTAAGTACCCATCATTGTCCAAAGTCTATTCAAGACAATGAGAGCACAAGATCTTGAGACCAGGTTTCTCACTGATCTGAGCCCAGTCTAATAACAGGCTCATGAGCCTGTAATAGGAGAGCTCAGAGAGAGGAGCAAGTCACTCAGCCTCAAAACTTTGAGGATGCCCCACACTTAAGGTAACATTAAAGTTATGACTTGAATGATGAGTAGTTTTCTGCTTGAAGCATCCAGATGGCCTAATTCCTTGTAGATGCAAATTTTAATACAATGCATAACTTTCCTTTCAGTTTAGAATAATTTGCTTACTTTATATGTACGTGGTAATTACTCCCAATATATGTGGGGTGAACCAAAAAGACCTGTTTGGTAGTTTCATCAACCATGCATCTTCATTCTCTGAGCCTTGCAGTTTGCAGACCTCAGGGTCATTGTCCTCTCTGGCTTGCAATTTCCAGTCATAAATGCTTGCAGATCCTCTCCTCAAAGTGTCCCTCCACCTTCCTCTTTCTTTTCTGTTCCCATTACCATCTTCTAGTCATTCTCCATACAATAGACCCGGCCCCCACCAGTCCTTCCTTGTTCTGTACAGTCACAAATTCATTTTCCCAAAATTAACTTATTGTAAAGCCCAGCAAGGGAACATTTGCTCCAAGTGACCTATAGCATACAGTTGTGTGATGTGTGTGTGTGTGTGTGGTCAGTCATGTCTGACTCTTTTGTGACCCCATGGACTGTAGCCCACCAGGCTCCTCTGTCCATGGGATTTCCCAGGCATGAATATTGGAGTGCGTTGCGGTTGCTTCTCCAGGGATCTTCCTGACCCAGGGATTGAACCCATGTCTCCTGCATTGCAGGTAGATTCTTTACCACTGCGCCACATGAGAAGGCCCGTAGGATATAGTTACTAAGTCTGTTTATTTTCTTACTTAAAGCCTGCGATGATCCAATCTCAGACTCCTCAGCCATCATTCCCCAGCACATTTCTGCTCCATCCAGGCACGTGCAGGGCAGAGATGGTAAGAGCTCATGCTGCTCGGTCCCACCTTTACCATGTATTAGCTGTTTTATGTCATCTCTCCATGCTCGTTTCCTCATCTATGACTTATATGAATAAATAGCCAAATGGCTTAAAGTTGTTAGGAAAATTAGTGTGATGACACATGAGAAGTGCCTGGTGCTGGACCTGACACATCCTTGGCTCTCAATAAATGGTAACATTTGTAGCCAGCTGCATCCTCACCTTCCTCTGAAATGCACCACATCTCTGTCATATCTAGAAACGCTTCTTTCTCTTACCAAGGTCATTGGTTTCTCCTTTAGGACTTGCCTCCGTTTCTGATTATCTTCCCACTGATTCCCCCACATGCACCTGCTCTCAGCTGTCTCTCCTCACATCCCCTTCATCACCTCTGTTGGCTTTACATGGTTCCCAAAATTCTTACGCTTCCTCACCGTCACAGCTAGAACTGTTCCCAAGTAGAGAAGACTGCTGTGCAAAGTCATAAGCCTCCCTGACTTCACCCTTACGTGAGGATGTTGAGGTGATCATGAAACAGAGGGAAGATTGGATAATGGATGCCTGAGGATCCTAGCAGGAGTGATTTTTGGAGTCAGAGCTGTTTAAAAGCAGGGACATGTCTTATATTTCCTCCCACTCCCCACAGCTGAGATCATTGTAGGCACACTCCACTTTGCGGTATTTGGCTCACTGTTTTCCTGAAGAATCAACCTACTCTTTGATCCCTGTCAAGAGGGCCAGTGGCTTTCATCCTGCAGGGGAATTTAGGAGGATGTGTACCAGGGTTGGAGGATGGGAACCCCCACGTACATCACACTGTAACCTATAGTGAGTGTGTAATAAATGTTTAATGAACAATCACCAACCACAAGCTATGTTTCACTGCATCATTGTATGTCAGCTGGGGACAAATTAAGAGCAAATGAAAGTCTCCTCCACATTTAAGGCTGACGTTATAGGGAGATGCTGAGGGACTAGATCTATTCCCCCCACCCCCCCGCAAAAAAAAGACTCCTTAGGTTCCGCAGAAAAAGCTCTTTATCTGAATATTTTCTTTTTCTTCCATACAATCTCTATATATGGGCAAAGAGAGAGTCCAGAAATCTAAGACGACATTTATCTTTAATATCCTTGTTGAAAGCTCTATTTTGAAACAATCTCATTACACAGGTCACCTCTAATTTTTGCCAGTTCATTTTCTCTCAGAAATCAACTGCTTTGCCTTCTCTGTTCCTGAATTCCAGGTAGCTGCACTTAATCTCTTTGCGGCCTGGCCTTTTCAGATTAGTTTGCTGTAATACGAAAAGAACCTTCAGCTTTAAAGAACGGCTCCCCACCCTTCCCCAGTTGGACGGGAGGAAATCAGTTAATTGCAGCCTGTCAGAGTTGTTTTAGGTGACTTTGTACTTCTTCAGTTTAAGATCAACATGAACCTTAGACATTTCAGGCTGGAAATTTAAATAGCAGCAAAAAAAAAAAAAAAAACCTGGGTTTCGCTAATGCCAGGAATGACTCATCTGGTGAGAATGGTATTGTATTGATAATACAATACCGAGAGAAGGAAAAGACTGTGGTATCTGCTTTTCTTTGTATCTGTGACCTTGAGGAGAATTATAACTTGTTTGTTGCAGAAGTTGAGCATCTAATGTGCCGGTGCACCTGTTAGTTCTAATATGTTAAATGGCAAAGCACTTGCTGTTTCCTGTGATTGCTTTGTGGGTGAAGTATTTTCTGCAATCTGGTGAACTGATTTGTTTTGTTTTGTTTTAAAGAATGTATTTGTTTGTATTTCTTGTCTCTCTTATTTCTGAAAAATATGCTTTCTCATTCTGTTTCAACACCCTGGTCTCATCATTACATCTTTTAGAATCTGTTTGGCTTTTTATTTTCAAGGTAACATGGTTATGATTTGTTTTTAATATAGAGACCATGAACCAGGCGACTCCCGCGAGGAAGCTGGAAGAGGTTCTTCATCTAGCGGAGCTCTGCATTGAAGTCTTACAGCAGAATGAAGAGCATCATGCAGAGGTGATGACTTCTTTTAACTGTCACATAAAGCCGTGCATAATGCTTTGCGATAGTCGGAATGGCACTGAAGATGTGGCCTGTCCATAGCCTTTGATACACACCTGGCCGTTTATCTATAGTAAACTGAGAATGTGGGCTTTTCCTGGAAATATAACTGCCATATGTTACAAAGGAATTGTGTATGTCTATAATTTAGTATCTATACCTGACAACTGTCTTTCTGTGCGGAACATGGAAGAGCTTATGAGATCTGCCAGAGGTTTACAACTAGCAAGAAGCAAAGCTGGGACATGACCCCCATCTAATGATGCCAGATCACTCACTAGCTTTTCTCCCTGTATCCTGATGGCTTTAGTTTAGAAATGTAAGTTAGTTGATGTGCACCAGGAGAAGCAGTGATGAACAATAACAAAATCACACAGAAGACATTCATAACTGCATCATTGGTAACTCTAGTGTTTCACTTTTACCATCAAGCTTTTCTTTCAATTTTCACTAACCCTGCATTTTTAATAGTTTTCAAAAGTTCTGGTTCTAATTATGTATTGACATTCAGTAGAGATATAAAATGGTATTTCATCAGGCAAGCTGCTTATTCTGAGATTTAAAAGTGTCATTCTTTCTAATAGCCATGAGTTCATTTTTTTGAAAAAACAGTTTTTGACTTTGAATTAGGTAGAGAAAATGTATAAAATTAAATAAATGTGATACATTTCAGTGCCCTAGCAATCCTTTTATTCTTGAGAAAGTGTGTGAAATGAGCAAGAAGGAAAAAGAACAGATACAGAAGAATTTATAGAATATTTGTATTTAATGAAGCCTAGTCCTCAAAAATATAAGAAACTATAGGAAGTACATTTTAAGCAAATTCTCAGAAAAGAATATTCATGAAGCCCTGCTATAGATAACTAAGATGTATTGTATCTGCTTATAAATATGATCATTCAAAACATCTGCTTTTAGCTCACACTATGGAATCTAGTTTTTACCTTGCATCTGTCATGTGTGAACTTGTTATGGATATTTTATTTTAAACTGAAGAAACAGCTGCTTCAATAATTTTAAATGAATTCCCAGGAGGAGCTTTTCTAGGCTAGTACTACTGCTGTGTTACAATGAAAATGATTATATGATAAAAATGTATGTATGTGTTGTCTTTGTCTTTTGTTAAAAGGCATTATCATCAGAGTATTAGACCTTTTTGAATTCAAAAAAAAATTGATTGGCTATTCAATTTCACCTAAACAGGTACATCTAATTTACATTTCACAAAAATTACATTTAATCTTCCTACACTAATAAGGAAAATAATAACTCTTCTGTCTTTTAAGTGTAAATAATGTTAATACTCCCTGCAACCACTATATGCTTGGTAAAGTACAGTGTATCCAAACACAATTAAATGGTAAGTATTACTTATTTTCTAACCTACAAAAATAGTTGATTTTATTGAACAGAGATAATCAAAACTTATAAATATCACTGAACTAGATGCCAAAATACAGAAGTATTACAATGACCTCTTTTTAAAATGCTTTGTGACACTATGGTATGTCTTCATTCCACAATGCTTCCAAATTCTTGGGATTTCTCAGGGAAGAGAGGTGAGTAGAACCGTTTTCATCATTTTCATAGCATGGAATAACTCTTTTATGTGAAGATAAGATAGAACCCACTCTGGTTATAGTTCTAAAGCCACCTTAGTCCCTCTCCTTGGAATTAGCCATTCCCTTCTCCAGGGGATCAATCGAACCCAAGTCTCCTAAATCGCAGGTAGGTTCTTTACCAGCTGAGCTACCTGGGAAGCCCAAGAATACTGGAGAGGGTAGCCTGTCCCTGTTCCAGCAGATCTTTCTGACCCAGGAATTGAACCTGGGCCTCCTGCCTTTCAGGCAGATTCTTTACCAGCTGAGCTACCAGGGAAGCTGAAATTAAAGACTGTATGTATTTAAATGGACCAATATTGGTTGTACTGTTTCCATGAATGTGTCTTATTGCCAACTGCCTGCATAATTATTGCTGGCCATCTAAGTAAAGGCCAGCTGTACATAAAGGATTTTCCACCGTTTTCAACCAGGAGATCCAGGTTTTTCTCTACTGGGGGGAGGAGTGAATTAGTCTGATTCCAAAGTCATTTCCAGAGTGAATGGATGGATGGCATTGAACAGTAATGTTGATTTTGCTGGATTTCCAGGCTAGACTGTCTTCACTGCACGAAAGAGAGCCCAGTCCAGCTCCCTAGGTGGAGGTTAATGCATCTGTCTCAGACACCTTCAAGTGGCCGTGTGTCAGCTCCTCTCTTTTTCCCTCCTCCTTCCTTCCTCAGGGGTGGTTGACTTCATGGGGCCAAGAGGTTGTTTCTGTCCTTCAGTAGTTTCTCAGTTGAGCAGGTTTCACGTCCTTCAGATCTTTCACAATAACTTGCTTCTAAGATAGTCCTCCCTTCTCTCTGAGGGCCTCTCAACCTCTCACCTCAGGCTTTTCTTCCGAATTTCTGTGTTTTCTCTTGAGAAAGATAGTGTAAGCTCCTTTCCAGAAAATCTTTAAAGCCATCTTTCACATTCCTGGGAGAGACTGTGTCTGACCAGAAATTGAGACAAACTGATCCAACCACCGTCCATCTAAGGCCTCTCACTCTGACAAAGGTGGCAAGTTCCACATGCCTTCTGGAAAGCCTTAGGCTCTCACCCCAGCACACGCCTGCACACACGTGCACCACATTCCTGGTGAGAAAACTTGGCTGGCGATACACAGTCAGGCTGACTCCACACTCTACACTTTCCAGGGAGCCACGTTGTTATTTATCAATTTCAATAGCGTGGCCGGGATGGGCATCTTGTCTCAGTTCTGCTGCCAGGTTTGACACTCAGCATCATAGCAGGAATGTAAGTGCAGAGAGAAAGATGACACTGCAAGCCTGAGATGTCCCTTTCAATCCTGTCAGACTCTTTCTCTCCTGGCGTATCCTGGGACTTGGCTATGGGGATGGAGGGCCAGGAATATCCCCCAGAGAAGAGGCAGAGACAGAGACAACGTGATGGATATGAGCACAGCTCAGATTATTACTCTGTGACTTATTGTTGCAGCAGAATCTTAATTGAAGTTCCCTAAAATATTTTAAATATAATATCGTCCACCATATTGGTGACACTGTAGGCCAAGCGAATGTCAGGCAGTAATTCAGTGTTTGGCACTTGGCTCACTGTGAATGGTGGATGTATCATGCTCTCCAGCTGACTGGGTCCCAGGCTGTTCCAGCAGCAGAGGAATGCAGGGAGAGTAGTTCAGTGCAGACACACATACCTCTGATCCTGGTCACTCATGTAAACATCAGTGTCTGGACCAGATTATGTGTCTGGATGTGAGTGAGTGAGTGAAAATCACTCAGTCGTGTCTGACTCTTTGCAACCCCATGGACTGCAGCCCGCCAGGCTCCTCTGTCCATGGGCTTCTCCAAGCAAGAATACGGGAGTGGGTAGCCGTTCCCTTCTCCAGGGGATCTTCCCAACCCAGGGATCAAACCTCGGTCTCTTGCATTGCAGGCAGATTCTTTACCGTCTGAGCCACCAGGGAAGCCCATGCATCTGGATAGATTATAACAAAAAAAAGAAAAGATGTTTGATTCTTAAAAATGTTTCCCATTGTTTTTGTTTATTTCTGATTCTCATTGTTGTTGTTCAGTCACTAAATCGTGTCCAACTGTGACTCCATGAACTGCAGTGCACCAGGCTTCCCTGTCCTTCACTGTCTCCTAGTTTGCTTAAACTCGTGTCCATTGAGTTGGTAATGCCACCCAACTATCTCATCCTCTGTGGCCCCCTTCTCCTCTCACCCTCAGTCTTTCCCAGCATCAGGGTCTTTTCCAGTGAGTTGGCTGTTCACATCAGGTAGCCAATGTATTCGAGCTTCAGCTTCAGAATCAGTCTTTCCAGTGACTTATTCATAAACAAGGTCCGTTTACTACCCACTAAGTAATTGCAGTCATCTCAACAGTTGAGTTCATCTTGATTACACAGCATTTATATCTGGATAGCCAGTGAGATAAATCGACTTTTCATTTTTAGGAAGGGTTTAGGTTTAGGGTTAGATTAGCCTGTGGTACAACAAATATTCCTATTTTTGGAAGAAGATGACCAACAAGTGATTTTCATATGGCTGAGCTATAGAGGAAGAATTCCACTTGCAGCAGAACTCTCAGATGAAACTGCATGGTCATAAATATTTTACTGAAAATGTTTCTTAGTCACTAACTTACAAATACATAATAATGAGAGTAGCACTTTACCTTGACATACCTTTTGAAGCATTTTCAGCTCCTCATTTCGATTATTTTAATATTTACATTCATCTAGGAACCCAATTGGAGAAGGCAGTGGCACCCCACCCCAGTACTCTTGCCTGGAAAATCCCATGGACGGATGAGCCTGGTAGGCTGCGGTCCATGGGGTCGCTAAGAGTCGGACACTACTGAGCGACTTCACTTTCACTTTTCACTTTCATGGATTGGAAAAGGAAGTGACAACCCCCTCCAGTGTTCTTGCCTGGAAAATCCCAGGGACGGGGGAGCCTGGTGGGCTGCCGTCTATGGGGTCGCACAGAGTCGGACACGACTGAAGTGACTTAGCAGCAGCAGGAACCCAATTAGGGAGATATTGTCATGAATTGAGTTGCAGAAAACTTACGATTCCTTTGACCTGAGTTTAGGTGTCACCCTGAAGGTTCAAGTCCACTGTACTGGCTCCTCAAGAGAGCTTCAATATTTCTAGAATATGGCCTCTCAGCATCATGTTACTGTATGTGTATGTTGGGGAGTGTAATGATACCCTAGACACTGAACTGTGTCCAGAGCTTTTAGGATCATCCACAAAATACAAGATTACAAGTTGATCTTTTTGGGGTGTGGAGGAAGCATATAATATGTTCCAAAATCAGATGCACTGTTTTTGCTCATTCATGCAGTCATCATTTTTTTGTTGTTGTAAAATATGAAATGTTTACTGCATTTTGAGGATAAAAGTAATATTAATTCAAAATCTTAAAAAATTAAACATTTGATACAGGAAATGGCAAAAAAAATAAATAAATAAGACTATAATAGATGTTCTGGCAAGAACATCCTCAGAGGACAAAAACATTGGTCTGATCTGCAGAACTAGATAGACAAACAGATGAGCAAAAAGGCAGTGTTCTATATATATATAGTTGATTAAGAAACTAGATAGACAGTTTCTAAATATGTAGTTGATTAAGAAACTAGAAAGACAGAAAGGCAGTGTGCTATGTACAGAGTTGATTAAGAAGACGCCATATATGTAAGATGCAGAGTACATTATGAGAAACGCTGGGCTGGAGGAAACACAAGCTGGAATCAAGATTGCCAGGAGAAATATCAATAACCTCAAATATGCAGATGACACCACCCTTATGGCAGAAAGTGAAAAAGAACTAAAGAGCCTCTTGATGAAAGTGAAAGAGGAGAGTGAAAAAGTTGGGTTAAAGCTTAACATTCAAAAAACTAAGATCATGGCATCCAGTCCCATTATTTCATGGCAAATAGATGGGGAAACAGTGGAAACAGTGGCTGACTATTTTTCTGGGCTCCAAAATCGCTGCAGATGGTGATAGCAGCCATGAAATTAAAAGACGCTTACTCCTTGGAAGGAATGTTATTAAAAAGCAGAGACATTACTTTGCCAACAAAGGTCCATCTAGTCAAAGCTATTGTTTTTCCAGTAGTCATGTGTGGATGTGAGAGTTGGACTATAAAGAAAGCTGAGCGCTGAAGAATTGATGCTTTTGAACTGTGGTGTTGGAGAAGACTCTTGAGAGTCCCTTGGACTGTGAGGAGATCCAACCAGTCCATCCTAAAGGAGATCGGTCCTGGGTGTTCATTGTAAGGACTGATGTTGAAGCTGAAACTCCAGTACTTTGGCCCCCTGATGTGAAGAGCTGACTCATTTGAAAAGACCCTGATGCTGGGAAAGATTGAGGGCAGGAGGAGAAGGGGATGACAGAGGATGAGATGGTTGGATGGCATCACTGACTCAGTAGACATGGGTTTGGGTGGACTCCAGGAGTTGGTGATGGACAGGGAGGCCTGACGTGTTGCAGTTCATGGGGTCGCAAAGCGTCAGACACAACTGAGAGACTGAACTGAATATATGTAAGAGCTTGATCTCTGTACTCCAGCTGACCTGAATTCAAATTATTACTCTGTTACCAATTTTATGACTTTGGGCAAGTTCCTTAATCTTTCTGACTTTGTTAACCTGTAAAATCCCCTGGGTTGGGAAGATCCCCTGAAGAAGGGCATGGCAACCCAGTCCAGTATTCTTGCCTGGAGAACCCCATGGACAGAGAAGCCTGGTGGGCTGCAGTTCATAGGGTTGTAAAGAGTCAGACACAACTGAAGCGACTTAGCATGCAACCATAAAATAAGGATAATTATATCATCTACCTGAAAGGATTAAGTAAAATAATGTGCAAAAAGTCTTTAGAACAGTACTTGCACATTACTTGTCCACTGATGTTGGACATTACTATTCTTAAAACATCTAAAACTAACACTATAATATTTGTGTGAATTTTGACTCATTTTTGTGTTGCTGATAATGATTCATTTTTTACTTTTGTACAGCAAGAGATTTTCATATCCCTTGACTTTTCCACACAACCCTGGGGGAGGCTAGGAAAAGTATTGTTACTGCCAATTTATGGATGAGGAAATGGAAATCCATCCAAGAACTGATTTGCCCATGAGCACTCAAGTCTCACCAAGTTCAAAATCTCAATACTCTTCCATTTTCAGAGATAGTCTTACTTGGTGCTGTTACCAACTTCACTGAGTAAACAAACATGGCTTTCAGAGTATTGTCTGCCACAAATATTGGAGAAGGCAATGGCAACCCACTCCAATACTCTTGCCTGGAAAATCCCATGGACGGAGGAGCCTGGTAGGCTGCAGTCCATGGGGTCGCGAAGAGTTGGACACGACTGAGCGACTTCACTTTCCCTTTTCACTTTCATGCATTGGAGAAGGAAATGGCAACCCACTCATGTTCTTGCCTGGAGAATACCAGGGACGGGGGAGCCTGGTGGGCTGCCATCCATGGGGTCGCACAGAGTCGGACACAACTGAAGCGACTTAGCAGCAGCAGCAACAGTAGAGTTTGTTATTTGTACTGCGCCACCCTTTTTCTTTACCTACTGTTTTCTTCAGTTTCCACCTACTAATTAGTTACACAATAATATTTTTTATAAATATATTGAACAATATTATTGTGGCAAAAGTTTTTAAGAAAATACTCAATATCTTATAATCCACATTTTTTGGTTTGTGGTTTGGCTCTTTCTGTTATAATTGAACTTATATTGGAAGAAATTGATGGAGTTTTGCAACCACAAATCTCACATGTTCTTAAAAAGTTCTTCAAAGTAAATATGGACTTCTCTAAGTGTAATATGAAACTTTTTCTAACGTTATTTTTAATTGAAAGAATAACAAAAATATCTGTATCACACAAATGTGTGTGATAAGTTTATAGTTACTTGGTGAAAAAGTTATAGTGCTATCAAAAGCTACATTTAAAAAGGGGGGGGGGAAGACCTGAGAGACATTTCACTAAAAACAGTATAAAGAGAGCCCTAAAACGTATGAGAAATGTTAAATTCATCCAAAATTAGAAAAATTCAGATTAAAACAAAACTGAGATACTATAGCCAGAGAAGCTCACATTATTTTTTGTGTGAGTATCCTCTGGTGGCTCCAAGAGTAAAGAATCTACCTGCAATGCAGGAGACCTGGGTTTGATCCCTGGGTTGGGAAAAACCCTTGGAGAAGGGAATGGCAGACCACTCTAGTATTCTTGCCTGGAGAATTCCATGGACAGAGGATGTTGGTGGGCTACAGTCCGGGGCTCACAAAGAGTCAGACACAACTGAGTGACTCACACAGGCACATAATGAGAACACTGAAAATAAGATATACCGTCTCAGCAAAATGTCAAGTATGCAATACAGTGTTGTAGGTACTGTGCTATTAGTAGACCTCTAGGATGTGTTCACCTTATATAACTGAATCTTTGTACCACCACACTTTCACAAATACCCTCCTTTTACATCCTTTCCCCAGTCAATCTACTCTCTGAAATGACCATTCCACTCTCTGCTTCTATGAAATTGACTATTTTAGATTCCTCATGTAAGTCATAAAGTATGACTATGTAAAGTATTTGTCCTTCTGTGTCTGGCTTATTTTACTTAATATAATGTCCTCCAGGTTCAATCATGTTGTTACAAATGGCATGGTTGCCTTCTTTTCTCAGGTGAAAATCGTTTTATTGTGTGTACATATCATATTTTGTTTTCTAGTTATTCATTTATGGGCTTTTGTTATTGTTGTTCAGTCACAAAGTCACGTCCAACTCTCTGTGACCCCATGGACTGCAGCACCCGAGGCTTCCCTGTCCTTAACCATCTCCTGGAGTTTTCTGAAACTCGTGTCCGTTGAGTTGGTGATGCCATCCAACCATCTCATCCTCTGTCACTCCCTTCTGCTCCTGCCCTCAATCTTTCCCAGCATCAGGGGCTTTTCTAATGAGTCAGCTCTTCGAATCAGGTGGCCGAAGTATTGGAGCTTCAGCTTCAGTGTCAGTCCTTCCAATGGATACTCAGGGTGGATTTCTTTTAGGATTGACTGGTTTCATCTCCCTGCAGTCCAGTGGACTCTCAAGAGTCTTCTCCAACACCACAATTTGAATGCAAAAATTCTCCAACTCTCACATCCATACATGACTACTGGAAAAAACATAGCTTTGACTATACAGACCTTTGTCAACAAAGTGATGGCTTGCTTCTGTGTCTTGCACACATGTTCAGTCACTTTGGTTGTGTCCAACTCTTTTCAACCCTAAGGACTGTAGCCCACCAGGCTGCTCTGTCCATGGGGATTCTCCAGGCAAGAATATTAGAGTGAGTTGGCATGCCCTCTGTGCTTAGCTACTGTGAATAGTACTGCATTGACTGTGGCAGTGTAAATATCTCTTTGAGATTCTTATTTCAATTCCTTTAGAAATATACCCAGGGGTGGGATTGATGGGTCATATGAGAGTTCTATTTTTAATTTTTGAAGGAACTTTCATACTGTTTTCCATAGTGGCTGCACAAATTTACATTTCTATCAACAGTGTACAAGGGTTCTCTTTCCTCTACAACCTCAACAAAACTTATCTTTTGCTTTTGTAAATAATAGCCACTCTAACAGGTGTGAGGTAATATCTCATTGTGGTTTTGATTTGCATTTGAAAATCAAATGATGATTAGTGATGTTGAACCTTTTCATATACCTGTTGACCATTTGTTGGTCTTCTTTGGGAAAATGTCTGTTTGGTCCTATGTACATCTTTTAGTCATGTTATTTATTTTTTGTTTTGTTTTGTTTTTGCTTTGAGTTGTAGGAGTGTACTATATGTTTTGGATATTAGCCCTTTATCCTGTGTGTGGCCTACAAATACTGTCTCTCATTCCTTTGTTGATTGTTTTCTTTGCTGTTCATTAAGTTTTTAGTTTGATGATGCTTGTTTTTGCTTATGTTGTCTGTGCTTTTGGTGTCATATCTGAGAAACCATTGCCAAGGCAAAGTTAAGAAGCTTTTTCTCTGTGTTTTCTCCCAGGAGTTTAATAGTTTCATGTCTTAAGTTTAAGTATTTAATGCTTTTTGAATTGATTTTTATATATGGTGCAAAACAGTAGTCCAGTTAGATTGTTTTGTTTGTGGATATCCAGTTTTCCCAGCACTGTTTATTGAAGGGACTGTCCTTTCCTCATTTTATATTCCTCCAGAATATAACCTTCCTGAAGGTTAGTTGATCATATATGTGTGGGTTTATTTCTGGGATCAGTATTCTGTGTCATTGGCCTAGGTGTCTGTATTGATGTTAGTGCAAGATTGATTTAATTACCAAAGCTTAGTAATATACCTATATTGATATCAGAAAGTGTGGTGTCTTCAGCTTTGTTCTTAAGATTAGTTTAGCTATCTGAGGTCATTTGTGATTCCATATGAATTTTAGAAATTTTTTTTTCTATTCCTGTAAAAAAAAAGTTCAATTGAATTTTGATAGGGTTTGTGTTGAAACTGTAGATGGTTTGGGGTAATATGGGCATTTTAACAATATAAACTCTTCCAATCCATGACACTGGATAGTTTTCGTTTATTTGGGACTACTTTAGTTTCTTTCATCAGTGTTTTATAATTTATAGTTTACAAATCCTGGTTGCTGGGCCTGCTTCCAGTTTCCATGGACAGGTCACATTATTTTTGAGAACTTCCTAAAAAGTAAATATTCTTTTTACCCATCTAAACAGCAGAGAGTTTTTAGGTCCTATCTAGTGGGACCTAATTTACACTGGAGGGACAGGAAATCCCTCTCTCTGAATGTGTGTTTTAGTTTTAGATTTTGATTCATAAAAACGTACTACAAGTAAAATGTAATTTTTTAAATGAGAAATAATTTTGTGGATATATATTTAAATAGTAAGCAAATTTTGTATTGATAAATATGAAATCTTATATAGAGTTAAAATATAAAATGACATTTTATTTCTAAAAATACATCAATTTAAAACATTAGAAAAATATGTAAAACAAAATTTCCTTGTATGTCTTAATTTATTCATAACTACTATGAATATTTTGGTGTATTTATTTCAATTCTTTTTCTCTATGACTAAAAATTTTAAACATATTCTACAATAATGTTCTACAATTTCACTTTTAATCACATTTGCACAGTATTTGTATATGTTTCTAACAAGTAATCTGTGTTTACATTATTTCTTTATTTGTTCACAGGCATTTGCCTGGTGGCCTGATTTATTGGCAGAGCATGCAGAGAAATTTTGGGCTTTATTCACAGTAGATATGGATACAGCACTTGAAGCACAGCCACAAGACTCCTGGGACAGTTTTCCTCTTTTCCAACTGCTTAATAATTTCCTCAGAAATGACGGTAAGCATTTGCATTTTTAGTGTGTTAAATGAGGAAGGGGAGAGAACATTGCGTGTGTGAGTGTGTATTTACAGAATTCTAGCACTCGCTCAACAAGGATCGACCCAGGTAACATGTTTGCTCATTCCCCAGGTATATCTGGCTAGGGTCCACAGGAGGCCAGCAACACTCTCAGATTGTTCCACTGGCCCCAAAGTTGCTCTGATGCCTGCCCTCCTGCCTTCCGGATTAGTGATAACACAGGGACCTTCTCACTGTACCTTGTGAATCAGAAAATCGTCAAAGATCAATATTTCTAAAGTACCTGAGAATGCTAACATCCTTGAAATACATCCTAGAGACTTATTATTCTAGATGTCCTGCCATATCAAGGTTTCTGCTAATCCACATTGTGCTAATGTTTGCAGACCAGATTTGGTTCTACAGATGATAGTAATGTTGCCCTGTGATATGGCTTGCTCTCTCTCATTTAGAAATTAAAGAGAATATAAAGGTTCTCTACTGAGACTTTTTTTTCCAATGCAGTAATAACTTTTATCATGATTCTGGTCGATGGTCTTCTAGCAGATTGTATGGACACAGGTTTTCATCAGAATTTTTGGAGGTGTTTCTTAGCATGTAGTTTCCTGTGGGCCTTTCCTATGATGATTTTTTTAAATGCAGACACAGAGAACAGGCTTGTGGACGCAGTAAGGCAAGAGAGGGTGGGAAGAATTGAGAGGGTGGCATTGACATGAATACACTACCAAGTGTAAAATAGATAGCTAGTGGGAAGCTGCTTTCTAGCGCAGGGAGCTCAGCTTGGTGCTCTGTGATGGCCTGCAGGGGTAGGAGGGAGGCTCAACAGGCAGGTTGTATATGCATATGTATTATCTGATTCACTTTTCTGTACAGCAGAATCTAATACGATGTTACAAAGCAATTATACTCCAATTAGAAAGTTTAATTTTTTTTTTTTAATTTCCCTTCAACTTAAGTTTGGTTTCTACTGGCAGTCTTTGCTTCAACATTTGTAGTGGTCTTGGGGTTGCTAATTCCCTATCCTAGAACATTCCTCTCACTATAAGCCAGGTTGAACTCCGTGTCCTCCTAACCTCTGGATCTGACTTATTCTGTTAAGTCAGTGGAATTGTCCTTCTTTTGTTGCATATGTTCTTCTCGCAGCCATTATTCCCAGTCATTTAACTGTTAGCATTTTCATGCCCATTACCATTCTTATCAGCTTCCCCTAAAAAGACCTCACTCCATTTTTCAGTATTGCTCTGGAGTATGGTGCTAAGTAGAACACAGTGCCCACAACATGACTTGAGTAACCCAGGCCCCAGAGAGCTGCCCGTCTTCTGCCTTGTCTTCCTGCAGCCCACGACTGCCCTCTCTTTCCCCGGAGCTCAGTCACACTGGTGATACAGTTCACACTTGCTGTCTTTGAAAACTCCAGATCTTTTTACTTCTCTCTTTCCAGGATATCATTACTCTGTATTTCTAGGTTTAAACTTAAGTCATTTTTTGGACTTTTATCTTTTTTTCTTAATTACTCTATTGATTTTGTTCATCACTCTAGTCCATCATTTCTTACCTTCCTTTGGTTATTCATCCCTTTGAGTCTATGCTACAACTACAACTCTTTTATTGGGAAAAAACATCTACATAGATATGAAATTGTGTGTAATAATCGACTCCCCATGGACATCTGTATTTTGGATATCAGGGTAGGAACCTTTGTTTTAGTAACAGGGGCATCATGTGGTAGTGATTAATAACATGGGCTTTAATGCCCAGCAGATTCACATCTGTCTCTGCTAGTTGCTACCTGACCTTTGACAATCACTTAATCTTGGTAAACTTTAAGTTCTTTATCTATAAAATAAAGAAAGAATAGTATGTACAGTGTCATTGGTGGTGAGGATTAAAGAAGGCAATAGCTCATGTAAAATGAATGCTAAATAAATATTTTAGATATTAATCAGTTAAAATTTCAATTGTGATTCCTTTAGCCATCTTTTCATTCTCTTATCCAATTTAATTTCCAAAAACATCTTATTAAAAAGTCAAAGAACTAAGCTACAGTTCCTACTTCAGTTCCAGCAACAATGTCTGCTCTTAGGAGCTGCTACACCCAGTTATCCATATGTGAATTATTTATTCTGCAAATTGTCTTCAGCCAGTTTTTAAGTTCTAGTTTAGTTCCCTCCTGCCAGGTAGCAGACTTCAAATGACCTTCTTTCCCAGCCTCTTATCATCATTTTTTTCTGCTAAGAAATTACAAGTCAGGTTTAATATTGTCTTACAATACATATATAGAAATAAACCTGCTGCCAAAAATGATGAATGTATTATACATTAAGTCCCTAAATGAAAATAAATAAGTATAGGATTATTTCTAACATTGCTTTTCTCCATTTGCGTGAAAATTCAAGAATTAACCATATTTAGATTTATTAGAGGGTTATTTTAAGATGAAAGTACTTATTAATGCTCACAGTAAAGATGATTTAACTTATTCAATATATTGCAATTTATTTATAGAGGAGGAAAAATATCTTATAGATTTCTTAGAGATTTTCTTTGGGAACCTCTGCTGTAATGCCAGTAAATTAGCATCTTTTAAATTTTATGTTTAAGATCTCTTAAAATGTCCAAAAAAAAATTTAAAAAAGAAAAATTGATTTTTAAAAGAGAAATGTGATTTTTAACCAAATGTTTAATTCAAAAGAATGTCATATTCCTCTCCTATTTAAACCATGTATATAATATTGGCTACTATCAAATGCATAACATCGTGTGTTTTGTCATTTTTGTACATGTTACTTAATCACAAGCACTTATTAATGATCTCTTTTGAGGGCTGCCCATTTGGGGGGCAAGTCTAGATCTAGGTTTGATTATTCAGTGATTAACATATTTTAGAAAGCATCAATTATTTCAGAGAAAAACAGCTCCTCTGTGTAGTCAGGTAAATAGAAAAGTTCCCCTGTGCCATAATTTCCTTTTGGTATTGGGAAAAGGATGTGGTCTGGGGAATTGAAATAGAACACAATAACTTTCAACTCAAACTCAGAAGTTACCATCCAAAGTCAAGGCCGCTTAGTATTAATAATATCTCACTAGGTGCTGACATAATTTTTTTTGCTTGTAGTATAGTAATGAAGAATATTATAATAATGAAGGTTATTGTTAATAATTATGTGTTTGTTTTATTAAATTCCTGAGATGTTCAGATGGTCGTTTAGTGAATTCAGTTCAAATGTTAAATGTCAACCTAAAGCTGCCCCCAAATTGTCCTTTTGGAAAGCTTACGGGAAAACATAAAATTTCTACCCTTTTACCACCATGTCCCCAAAGAAAAGTTCTTACATCACTGCCATGGTATGACAGTTTTTACCATATTGACCCAATTGGAGTTATAGTCCAAATACTAATTAATTTCAATCTTAACTAGCCAGGGGTAAAATAGGAACAGATTGCTCTGAACTGTCCAGTCTTGTTAGGTGAGATGATTTGTTGAATAGTAGTGCTTGCTATTACCTCAGAGAAGGCAATGGCAACCCACTCCAGTGCTCTTGCCTGGAAAATCCCTCGGACGGAGGAGCCTGGTAGGCTGCAGTCCATGGGGTCGCTAAGAGTCAGACACTACTGAGAGACTTCACTTTCCCTTTTCACTTTCATGCATTGGAGAAGGAAATGGCAACCCACTGCAGTGTTCTTGCCTGGAGAATCCCAGGGACAGGGGAGCCTGGTGGGCTGCCGTCTATGGGGTCACAAAGAGTCGGACACGACTGAAGCGACTTAGCAGCAGCAGCAGCAGCTGTTACCCCACATGTGGCATGCCACTAATTATACAAAAATTTTAAATGGTTGTGATTTATTAATAATGTCACATACTTATGTCTGCTTTTCCAAAATAAAAATTACTAATGTGTCTCTACCAGAGATATTAGTTAGAATTTGTGCTTTATTTGTGCTTGGAAGCTTTATAGCTGAGTTGTCTTTGTTTTTTAATGAATAATTTAGCCATTCGCACTGAATATTTACCATCTTTATTTTGTGAAAACATTTATGCTTTGATATTTAAAAATAAGTGTTTATCTTTAGGGGAGCGGAGAGGATCTTAGGCAAGTATGTTCATTTTCCATCTAGGAGGCGAGGCGCCTTGCCTGGGGCTTGCTGACAGGAAACTAGTACAGCAGTGAGTTGGAGCCTGACCACTTGGTCTGCAATAACAAATGCAATTCTGGGGACATTAGAAAATAAGATAATATTTTTAAAGATAGTAGATCTTTAAGCTTTTGAAAGTGAAAGTGTGAGTCGCTCAGTCACGGCTGACTCTTTGTTACCCCATGGACTGTAACCCACCAGGTTCCTCTGTCCATGGAATTCTCCAGGCAAGAATACCAGAGTAGGTTGCCATTTCCTTCTCCAGGGTGTATTCCTGACCCAGAGATCGAATGCAGGGTATCCTGCATCACAGACACATTCTTTACCATCTGTGCTACCAGAGAAGCCCATTTAAACTTATATTCCTGCCTAATAAAATGTTTGTCAGGGCCTTGAGTTACAGAGGTAGGAGAAGCAGGTTGGTTAAAGCATGCAGAAAGGACCAGATAAAGTAGTGTCTTAGCACGTACACTGCAAAACATCCATGACAAGAATTCCAGGAACTGCACAAATCAGAGGGGAAAGAGATTCAAGATAGCGAATTTGGTTGCTGTTTTAAGAAGGGGAAGCAAAGAATTGTGTCTGGGGTAGGTGTGTTTCCTTCCAGTTGTGCATGATTAGGAAAAGTCTTAGACTTGAGAATCCTTGGAGATACAACATGATTTTCCTCAAGGGAAGAGTACCAGCTACACCACAATTTTAGCTACTGTCCCCAATCTCCTGCCCCTCACAGGCTCATCCACTGGTTCCCAGAGCAGAGCTGATGAAGAAAACAAACTTGGGCTCCTTCATTTCTGTCCAAAAAAGACTGAACTCCCGTTTGCCTCTCCACCCTGCCCCCATCC